ATTCTTTGGTGGTGAAGAAGGAAGTTCAATATAAGAATACATATCCTGCTTTTTGCATTAGTAGACTACTGAAGACCTTACCTAACAATTTGTAAAGTAGATTCAAAATTTCTTTCCATGCTGTACCATGTTCTTCTCTTGTAAATCCTGCAAAATGAGCTGCGCTGTTGTAGTCATTTAAGCGATCAATGCAATTCAAAACTATTGCCAGCATTCCCTAAACACATATGACAGAAAGGAAAGTGAACTGTATATAAATGAGCATTTGTTGTTGTCGTTTTAAAAGATTTCCTCCTGCACACATTTAAAAGTTGCATCATCTTAGATTTAAAAACAAAAAACAAAAACAACCAAATTATTGTGCATACAAGATTTGAATATGTATTTTTCAACATCATAGAATCATCTATTTTAGAAAATGATTCTACACGCTTCCTTACTCAGCCAAGAATTATAGAAAGTAAAGAATAAACGAAGACAACAATAAAGCCTTTTATAATTTTTGTGAACAGACTGTTTTTTGCATAAAATTTTTACATCAGAAGTAACATCTATCTTTTCAGTATTTGTTTGGAGTATCCAGAATGTAAAACTTCATAGACAGAAAAAGAAACTTGTCACAATGGTTTCTTTTAAAAATGACATCTGTTGAAAGATTCTCAGAAGTACTAAGACCAAATTTTATGAGAGAGCTTGTGGCCTATGGCAAGTGTGAAAGCAAAAAATATGCAACAGCAAGTTATCATACCGCATTAGTCTATTATATATAATATACATGTTAAATTAATTACATATAACTACCCATGGAACTTTGCATTATAAATCATATGCATACATCTAGATGATAATATATAGGTTCTTCTGAATGTTTGTGACACAATACACTTAAAATTAAAATAATGTAACAGTTCCTCTCTCTGTACCTCCTCTTTGAATAGATTTTGTCTGTTTTTGAGTGACCGAAGCTTGTTTTGCTTATCTTCATGTTCCAGATCTTCTTCGGGAAGCTTAAAGTAAGTAATCAGGTCTTGCAGAGTCTGAGCCATCTCCTCAACAGGCAGGGCAGTGGATGATAATGTTCTGTTGTTTCCACTATGGAAAACAATGAGAAAGACTGGCAGCATTATTCATTTTCCCACTGTAATTTACAGTATTATGTAGCAGCCTCTTTTCTGCTGGCATCTAAATCAAGTCTTGTTTAACACATGAAATATGTATATGATCAACACCTGATCTGAATTGCAAATCATTCAAATATCTATTGTCTAGGTGTCCAGTGCTCAGATTCTACTTCCACTTCCTGAAGTGGAATCGCATTTCCCATTCTGAACTGATGTAAAGAGACAGAATCAGTAAAACAAATGGAAAAAAAGAAAAAAAAGATTAAACAGAGAAGAAAGATCTACCAAAGTCCTTTCTGACAGTAACTAATTTTATTTAGATAGTTTTAAATCCTATTGATAATACAGGTATAATGTGCAGATGGACTAAAATAGTAGCAGTTATTGAGGCTGTACAATCCCAGTCTTCTAGACATAGAATACAAAAGTAACAGGTAATTCTAACATCATTAATTACATCTACTGTATCAACTCTATATAAGAAATAAAGAAGGGTGTATTTAAAAATATAAAGCATTTCAAGGAGTCCCAGTTATCAGTAGCATAATGGACCATAGAATCATAAAATCATAGAATGGTTTGGGTTGGAAGGGACTTTTAAAGGTCATCTAGTCCAACCCCCATGCAATAAGCAGGGACAGGCTGCTCAGAACTACATTCAGCCTGGCCTTGAATACCTCCAGGACTGGAGTATCTACCACCTCTCTGGGCAACCTGTTTCAGTATTTTACTACCCTCATTATAAAAAAAGGTCTTCTTCATGTCCAGCCTGAAATTCCCCTCTTTTAATTTAAAACCATTGCCCCTCATCCTATCGCAACAGGATAAAAAGTATCTTCCCATCTTTTATAGGGCTTTTTTTAAGTACCGAAAGGCTGAAATAAGATCTCCCTGGAGTCTTCTCCCCAACTCCAGGCCCTTCCTCACAGGAGACATGCTCCATCCCTCTGATCATTTTTGTGTCCCTCCTCTGGACACACTCCAATAGGTCTGTATCTTTCCTGTACTGAGGACTGAGAGTCGGACACAGTACTCCAGCTAAGGTCTCACCAGAGCAGAGGGGCAGAATCACCTGTTTTGACCTGCTGGACACACTTCTGTGGATGCGGGCCAAGATACAATTGGCCTTCTGGGCTGCAAGCATACATTGCTGTCTCATATTCAATCTTTCATCCACCAGTACCCCCAAGTCCTTCTCCTCAGAGGTGCTCTCAATCCCTTCATACCCCAGCCTGTATTGATACCAGGTGCAGGATCAGGCGCATGTCTCTTTCCTGTCCCAGCATTTGCTCAGTCTTGGGTGACAATCCAATTTTTTAGTCTGACTCACTATTAGAAATAATTTAATCTTGGAGGAGCTGATTGCTGGCAGAAGTGGTTCTGGTTTTATATCCTCAGCACAAGAAATACAAAGGAGCAGTGTATACTACTGTCATACTGAAGAAGTAACGTTTTCAATGGTGGGTTCCCTGAAAGCAAAGTCTTAATTATAAACTCATTTTTCTTTATTTTAATTTTATTAGGCAGCAATACAAGAATGGCCACTTGATCATCTTAATAAAACTTCTGCCAAGCACTATGAAAAAAGTTTCTACAGTACTATATATATTATTACCAATTTCACTGTGTATACATACTCATATGTTGATCTCAACAACTATAAATGAATATGCATTGACACTGAATTGTATTTTACCATAAAATTTGCCCAAAACATATCCTATGAAAGAGCTATAGTGAAGTAAACATGGAACTTTCACACTCAAAAAAGGAAAAAGAATTCTTTTATGAATACTGTGAAGTTCTAGCTACTATGGAATATTTACTAATGCTGTAACACTAAAATCATTTAGCATGTTTTCTTTAATCTGGATTATGATCCAGTTTGTTCTGGCTTCACATAAATAAACTTAAAAAAGATATGTTATCTATTTAATTGCATTACTCACCAAAATTGCAAAATTAAGTCAGTAAAAAAATCTGGCTAATAACTTTTAAATACAAATACTTGAAAGCAGGAAATAAGGATTCTGTTAGAGTAATTCTTATAATTTCAGAATACTTCAAAAGCCAAGTATAAAACAGATATTATAAAAGATAGTAACAACTACCTTATAAACTGGCTGAATAAGCTTGTAGTATTGCGAATGATTCGAGCAGCCTGGGATTCCTCATGCTGACATCTTTGTAAAGTTAGACCATCATCCATATGGCCTTCTTGGTGTAATATAACCTATTAAAAGTCAGTAATTATCAGAATAGTTACATTAATAACTTGTGTGCTTTTCAGTATTTTGTAACTTAGTTCAATATCACACTGAAAACAGTAACTGCATACATGCTGAGCCACTACCTGTCAATCACTTTATCTGGATACTTTTTTATTAACTAATTACAAATCTGTCAGTCTCACATAAAAGTTATTCAGAGACATATTTTAATGTGCCTTTATTCTCTTATAATTCATTAAACATGCTTATCAAATATTTTCCAACTGAAACAAAAACTGTCATTCTATATTCTGGCTGTCAGGTAAAGAGGATCTTCACTATCTTAAGCATACTTTACAAAAGATTCACGCATGAAAAGACTACTGAAAAGAAAATCAAGCAGAAATGACAAACATTATAAAAATTACAATGCAGCTAAAGGAACAACCACATTTGTGAGTAACTTCTGAACCATTTAACTATTCTCTGCACATTATGTTTGATTCTTACCAGATCCCCACAGATGTGATCAACAAGATAACAGCAATGTCTCCACCAACTAATAAGAAAGAAACGCAAGCTTTCTTGGGTGCAGTGGGGTTCTGGAGAATGCACATCCCAAATTACAGTTCGATTGTAAGCCCTCTCTATCATGTGACCCGGAAGAAGAATGATTTTAAATGGGGCCCTGAGCAGCAACAAGCCTTTGAGCAAATTAAACGCGAGATAGTTCATGCAGTAGCCCTTGGACCTGTCCGGACCGGACCAGATGTAAAAAATGTACTGTACACTGCAGCTGGGGAGAACGGTCCTACCTGGAGCCTCTGGCAGAAAGCTCCAGGGGAGACTCGAGGTCGACCCCTCGGCTTTTGGAGTCGGGGATATAAAGGATCTGAGGCCAGCTATACCCCAACTGAGAAAGAGATACTGGCAGCCTATGAAGGGGTTCGAGCTGCTTCGGAAGTGATTGGCACTGAAGCACAGCTCCTTCTGGCACCCCGGCTGCCCGTGCTGGGCTGGATGTTCAAAGGCAGGGTCTCCTCTGCACATCATGCAACCGATGCTACATGGAGTAAATGGGCTGCACTAATTACACAACGAACTCGAATAGGAAATCCCAGTCGTCCAGGCATTCTAGAAGTCATCATGGACTGGCCAGAGGGCAAAGATTTCGGAATGTCACCAGAGGAGGAGGTGATGCGCGCTGAAGAGGCCCCACCATATAATAAACTGTCAGAAAGTGAAAAGCAGTATGCCTTGTTTACTGATGGCTCTTGCCGTATTGTGGGAAAGCATCGGAGATGGAAGGCAGCTGTATGGAGTCCTGGACGACAAGCTGCAGAAACTGCTGACGGAGAGGGTGAATCGAGTCAGTTTGCCGAGGTGAAAGCCATCCAGCTGGCCCTGGACATTGCTGAACGAGAAAAGTGGCCAGTACTTTATCTCTATACTGACTCATGGATGGTGGCAAATGCCCTGTGGGGGTGGTTGAAGCAGTGGAAGCAGAGCAACTGGCAACGCAGAGGTAAACCCATCTGGGCTGCTGCAGTGTGGAAAGATATTGCTGCCAGGGTGCAGAACCTGGTGGTGAAGGTACGTCATGTAGATGCCCATGTACCCAAGAGTCGGGCCACTGAGGAACACCAGAACAACCAACAAGTGGATAAAGCGGCTAAGATTGAAGTGGCTCAGATGGACTTAGATTGGCAACATAAAGGTGAATTATTTTTGGCCTGGTGGGCCCATGACACTTCAGGCCATCAGGGCAGAGATGCAACATATAGATGGGCCCGTGACCGAGGGGTGGACTTAACAATGGACACTATTGCCCAGGTTATTCATGAGTGTGAAACATGTGCTGCAATTAAACAAGCCAAGCGGTTAAAGCCTCTTTGGTATGGAGGACGATGGTTGAAGTATAAATATGGGGAGGCCTGGCAGATTGACTATATCACACTGCCACCAACCCGCCAAGGCAAGCGCCATGTGCTTACCATGGTGGAAGCAACCACCGGGTGGCTGGAAACATACGCCGTGCCCCATGCCACTGCCCGGAACACCATCCTGGGCCTTGAGAAACAGATTTTGTGGCGACACGGCACCCCAGAGAGAATTGAGTCAGACAATGGGACTCATTTCCGGAATAACCTTATAGATATTTGGGCCAAAGAGCATGGCATTGAGTGGGTATATCACATCCCCTACCATGCACCAGCCTCTGGGAAAATCGAACGGTACAATGGGCTGTTAAAAACTACACTGAGAGCAATGGGTGGGGGAACTTTCAAGCATTGGGATACACACTTACCAAAGGCCACCTGGTTGGTCAACACCAGAGGATCTGCCAACAGGGCTGGCCCAGCCCAGTCAGAACTGTTACATATTGTAGAGGGGGACAAAGTTCCCATGGTGCATATGAAGAATTTGCTGGGGAAGACAGTCTGGGTTATTCCTGCTTCAGGTAAAGGCAAACCCACTCGTGGGATTGCTTTTGCTCAGGGACCTGGATATACTTGGTGGGTAATGCGGGAAGATGGGGAAGTCCGATGTATACCTCAAGGGGATTTGATTTTAGGGGAAAACAGCCCGTGAACTCAATTGTATGCTGTTGCCTGCTGTGTAATGCTTTTATAGCCCATCAACTAGATGTCTCCAGGTCACCAGCGACTGGCCCTGACTTCCCTCCAGCCATCATCCCAACAGAGAATGAACTTTGAACATCATGGACCGAATGGACTCGGCAGCATTATAGGGATTGGTCCATGCACTAAGAAAATGATTTTTCCTCTTGGTCTGTATGTATATGGATGTATATATGTGGGAGAGCGATGGTGTATTGAAAATGTGGGATCTGAGCACGACGTGAATGGTATGGAATAAGGGGTGGATAATGTCCTGGGTTCTGCAGTAGCAGTCATGTTTTTTCCTTTGTGTTAACTGGTACAGTGCTATGTTTTGACTTCCAGTTTGAGAACAGTGTTGGTGAAGCCGATGTTCTCGGTTGTTGCTAAGTGATGTTTACCCTGACCAAGGACTCTGTGAGCCTCATGCTCTGCCAGGGAGGAGGGGAAGCCGGGAGGAAGCAGAGACAGGACACCTGACCCAAACTGACCAAAGAGGTATTCCATACCACAGCACGTCATGCCCAGGATGTAACTGGGAGTTAGCCGGAGGGGCTGGGGGACTGCAGGGTTGGAGGAGGTATCGGTCGGAGCTTGGTTGGGCCTGGGGGGCGAGTTATCGGTCGGCTGGTGGTGAGATGATGTATTCTCTTCTCTTGTTATTTCCTTTATCATTATTATCATTGGTGGTAGCAGTAGTGATTTGTGTTATACCTTAGTTACTAAACTGTTCTTATCTCAACCCGTGGGAGTTGCATTCTTTTCGATTCTCCTCTCCGTCCCTCCGAGAGCAGGGGGAGGGCAAGAAAGGGGGGGAAGTGAGTGAACGAATTACCTGACTGGGTTTAAACCACGACAACCATACATGAACATCATATGAAACTCAAGCAATTGCAGAGATCCTTTAGTGGGTTTTAATTTTTCCCCTTAAATAAAAGCAGAATTTCACCAAAAGCTAGCATAAAAACAAGTCATTAAAATACTACAGCTTTTTTGTAAGAATTAAATGTGAGTTATCCTGTTTCTTTGCCCAATATGTAATCTATTGAATCCTCCACTTGAAGAACGTATTTTTTTTAACTCAGAGATGGTAAAAATTTGCTGCCCAACTTCTCAATTAGTTGAGGAATTCTGGAGGCACTGAATAATTAACAAAGAAACTAATAATGCTATACAAGTTGGCACTGCCCCATGTGGGAGGGTTATTTACCAACAGCTTTTTTCACGCACTGGCAATTGGGCATATACACAGTTACGTTTTTCTATATGTGAAAGAATTCAAAGTACACATGTGCTCTGTTCCTTCCAACATACTAAGGTAGTGCTTTTAAAAGAGACAAACTTCACCCTAGGAGTTTATCTGGACCCCAAAATCCATACAAATATGACAGAGAGGATTAGGAAGACATTTCTGAATGAGTATATTGATAATATTATCTTTAAGGAGACTAGTTTACATATTTGTTATCTTTCCTCTTCATTCAAGTACTTTGTATAGAGTCACACTGTGGATGACTTCATCAGCTTAAATATCACATAAAGAAGGATCCAGGGGTCTCTTAACTGAACAGTAACTAAAGAACTGTTCTTCCCATCACAAAACTAGTAGGAAAACATTTGACAATCAGATAATCTTTCCTCAGGCTCCAGATTTTGGAGCTACAGGAATGGTACAGGAATGAAAAATATAACAGATAGGACATTAAAGCTGTAACACCTTTGCAAAGTAACTGAATCTTCACACGTGGCAGATACGCACTTTTCTCCCTCAGTATGCAGCAGACTAGGGATGAGAAAAGTCTTTTAGAAGGACTTAATCTTCCCTATTTCTCTGACCAAAAAATAACAACCTCCAAACCTCAACTAAATCATCCTGAAACACCACAATGACAAGAAAGGGCTACTTAGAACTCCAGTAAGTAGATTATGGCTAGAAGCATCCAGCACTGCCTACTCCAGTACCTCAGACAAACCACTTCCCTGCATATACAGAGGCATTTGGCACTGCCTTTCTTCCTGAGGTACAGCAGGGCATTGGTATTGACCAACACCCTGAGCAATGGTCTCTGGGATGTAAATCCAAAACATTTAATGTGTTTCTCTGTTCTTTGAGCTCTAGCATTCTGGAGCTCTGCAGGAGTTCACAGTTTGCACAGAAGCAAGCTCTCAAACTGGAAAGAAAGGTATCTATCACTCATGCTGGAGGGTGAAGAAATATTTAACAGGATATTGATACAAACATTATCACTATCTGGCAAAGTCTTGAACCCCTGGTTACCAAGATCTCGGAGAGAGATGCAACAGATAAAAACTCTGGCAGAAATCGTGCAACAGAAGCCTCACAAATGAAGCCAGAATTTCTTACCTTTTTGTGCCTTGCAAAGACAGCATGATAACTAGATACATGAAACTACACCAAAGCCAAACAAAAGACATTTTTACTTGGAACCCCAGCCCTCTCCCCCCACCCTACCAAACCCTTTGCAGTCAGCTTGAAAAGGATTACAGTGACTGAAAGTGAAAAATCTCCTGACAAAATGATGGTGAAGGACCCATCATTTTACCCCAAGGGATGTAAAAATTCTTTATAAAATTATAGTCTAGTACTATATCTTGCAGAGGATAAAATATTGTTTCTTGCCTCCACGGAAATATCAACTACAGGAAGCAATAAGGTTTGGGTTTTCCCCTGTTTTAAGGCACTTAACAGGAGACAATTCTCTAGGTGACAGGGCAACAAAAGATTTGGTGTCTTTGAACATGAATGAAACAGTTGGAAAGGAGAATAAAAGTGACAGGCAATCATGGAAGTTGTTTTAGTCCTTTGCTGTTGAGCAGAAAACTGGGGGCGGGGGGGAAACCTAAACTTTACAGGAAGCTAATATAAAATTCCTCATTTGAATACAGAGGAAGAATCTACATGCTGCCTTTTAAAGAAGGAAAATTAGACCCTCTGAGGAAACAGAATCCCATACCCAACACTGTCATGGGAAAGGAAGAGGCCAACCTTGCGTGAATAACTCTCTTACCAAGAAAATACTGAGTGACTGGCATACAAAGAAGAACTCTGACAGCAATGCTGCTGACAGAGACACTCACTGCCCATTTATGACCATGTGTGTTGCACAAATAAATGAGATTGTGTCAGGAGTGTGCTGTGGACCTCATTTTTAATATTACAGTGCTTGTGTACAGGTATCCTCTTGGTAATGTACATACAAGCCATTAAAGAAAATATCCCAACTTACGTTCAGTAATGAATTTTTTTCATGTTCTAGTGTTAGATTAAAATTGAAAAAAAATCCGTGTATACAAAGATTCATTTGGCAATAATGCAATTATGCAAAGGGAGTACTGAACCCACTAATAGTGAATGAAATTTAAACATAATTTGAAGAGATAACAGGCCACATGATCCTTAAGAATATAACATTACATTCAAAATATACTAATACCTTATAATCAAAAGGCTGAGAGAAAGACCTTCTTGATGCCACATCAAAATTATATTCAACATTTTGACAGGAAATTTTTCATTAATACCCCTTAAGAAACTTGAGGAGATTAAGTAACAAGTTAAATTAACATTTCATACAGTATACTGTATTAAAAAATCTAAAATACCAATGAAAGCAAGATCACTTATAAGTTTACATTGTTAAACAGTACAGATTTTCAAAACAATGATTTTCACCATCCAAATCAGGAATTTCTGTATTTTACTGCAGTATCAAAAATAAAAATTGAGCCCAAATTAATAATTTCCTCTGGCAAGAAAAATAGATAGATGCATTTCTTACTGGCAAAATTTTTCTTCAGTTACATAGTTATGTTAATAGCCACCATTGTTTATCGTTTTAGAAGGAAACATTTACACCATTTTCAATACACCATTTTCCATAAAGCACAGAACAATAAAACCCACAATTGCCATATTGGTAGAATGGTAAAAAACAGGACAGACAGAAAATGTTATGCAACTAACATTCATTTTACAAGTAACTGAAAAAAAACCCTTAAACATTACCTTTCTTTTCAAGGGACCTAAACGTGCTGATTTAGCATCTTGAGCTTTGTAAGTCAACCATAAAGCACTAGCCACATGTTGGACAAAACAGATTGAATCACCATACTTTATTTCTGGGACTCCCATTCCATCAATGTCACGTTTAAGACTAGAGTCCTGCTTTTCTTTTAGCTCCTAAAAAAGATAA